TTTTTTAAAAAATCTTGAAAAAAGCTTCCCTCCAGACCCTTTAATAACCTTTGAATAGCCATTCTTTATCATCTCATCTCAGGAAATGGAGTTAGGTATGAAAGAAACTGGAGAAAAATAGGAAAATTCCTGGGGTTAGATGTGGTGGTAAATATTTTTTCTTCTCTGTTTTGACTGAATTTAAAAACTCAGAAGATAATTTCCTTAAAGTGATAAAAATTCTCAAAAAGTGTATTTATTACTAGAAAGCCTTTAGGTCTCCCAAAAGTGCATTGTAAAACTAGTGTGCCCAGATCGTTACCATTTCTGTATACCAAGCACAGGCTTCCTGGCACAAGTCACAGATACAAAGGCACCACGTGCTTCTGCCAACAAAGTATATAGCCCCTTTTGTCCCCCAGAAAATGAAAGAGTCATTTCTTTGTGTGCTTCCTTTATGTAACCTTTGATACAGAAATTAGCTGGTAGATGTATTTCTGTCTGCCTAGAACTCAAGGAACTGGAAGTAATTTCTAAACTTACTGGATTTATTATTTGCCACATTGCCTATCAGTCTTATAGTGTGTTTGTTTATTCCCCTAGGGGTTATCAGAGGTCTTAGACTTTCTCACTACAAATCTATTCCATCTCCTTGAGCTGGGAGATATAGGAGAAATGGGGTTAATTCAGCTACTTCTCATTTCTTCAGGACAGATTTAAAGTGGGCTGAAAGAAGTAGGGAAGGGGGCGGCGCCTGTGGCTCAAAGGAGTAGGGCACTGGCCCCATATACCGGAGGTGGTGGGTTCAAACCCAGCCCCGGCCAAAAACTGCAAAAAAAAAAAAAAGAAGTAGAGAAGGGTCCTATGGGGACCTGACCTGTCCCGGTGGTCATAGAGTTCCTGGCTGCACATTCTACTCTGGGAGAACCATTTGGAGGAGACGCCCTGCTGGCAAGTCTTTGCTCAATTGCCCTGGGGTCTCACAAGACTCCTTCCACTGGAAGAAATGTTATTGCCCTCTTTGCTAAAGGAAAGAATTGATTCAGAGAAAATCTAAAGGCACTAGAGTTGGAATGAAACTCTTATTGGAAGAAATAGAAATGACAGACAGTGACTGATTAAAACATGAGACTAAGAAGCAAATAACCAATTTAGTAAGTTTGGAATTTTTTTTTTTTTTTTTTTTGAGACAGAGTCTTACTCTGTTGCCTGGATAGAGTGCAGTGGTGTCATAGCTCCCAGCAACCTCAAACTCCTAAGCTC